TACATAAATCTTATGCATAAAATTATAATTTTGATTGATTAAAACTATGAACTATTAAAAAATATAATTTATATCATATATATATAATTGCAAGAGACGATGTGAATTAAAATTAATTTGATTTTAATTTTTACTAGGCTAGTAATAATTTTTATATCTTTAATTTTATCTTAAATATATGTAGATGTAACAAGTATTCTTTATGTATTATTAATTATTTATTATTAACAAAATTAATATAAATGCATTTGAGGATTGTATTTCAATAATATAATTATATCAGTAATATGGCATAAAAACGTATACATAAGCAATATAATTTTATTAAAATTAAATATAAACGTATATTTTTCTTACAAAATATTTATATTATTGCATAGTTTGAGTAAAAAATATTCTTGTAAAATCTATTTATTACATTGATGAAATAATATATGTATACATATATTAATATTGTATAAAATTTTAACTTATAAAAGAATTATTTTATAACAAAAATTTGTCTTATTTTTGTATTTATTAATGCAAAAAAACTTTTGCATTAAAGCAAAAAAACTTTTATATTACATATGATATCAAATGTGATTTTTAAAATTTTGCATTAAAGCAATCAATTATTTTGATCAATAATTTTGTCAATAAGATATTACTAATGTGATTGGATGTATATACATATTTTTATTTGTGAAGAAATTAATTTATATACTGTTTTTTTGTTTAGAGAAAAATGGATTCTGGTGGTACTATAGGAAAAAGATATTCCGTTGTCAAGTTTGTTATAGATAATTCATACTCAGAAATACCAACAGCGTGGCTTATACTAGATGACAATCAACAACAGAAGTGCTGGTGGCCACGGACAGCAAATGCTGCACCTCTAATCGCAAACTATGCAAGTCCGAATTTTGAAACTTGGGATCAATATAATATTGAACTCATAAAACATTGTAGTAAGTACTTATGCATTTTTATCTTTTGTGTGTTATGATTATATTATATTACACTATTAAGAGTCATTTAAGTTTGCGCAGAACATATTTATTGTAATGTTTTTATTGTGATTATTATTAGTATTATATTATTATTATTATCATTAATGCGCAATTTAATATATCTATTTTTTTATTATAGGATCTTTGGAATCTGCAAGAAAAAGTGCAGCTGACTCCAACTACCAAACAACCGACGAAGACAAATTGGGACGTGGCAAAAGACAGCATACTTTGTACAATCGATATAGCAGTGAAGAAGAAGAAAACGACGATTATGTACATCGACCAATTGCTAAAATTAAGAGTACGTATTAAAACAGCATGTTTTATTATATTTGATAATCTTCATTTTTAAAGGGCTATATAAGAAAATTTTTTTTAAATATTTACAGAGAAAGAAAAAGCAAGCAGTATGAATAAAATTACATCTGCTTTCCCACTGTGTCCGGACAATTTAACCTTGAATAATTTCACCAACAATGAAATTGAAAGCATCAAAACTGTGATTGATTCAGTAAAAAAGATTCCATTATCACAACCTTGTGGTACGTATAGTATGTGATATTATAATCTTTGATATTTTGATTTTTATTACATATTGTATACATTTCCAGAGAAAAAGAAAACTTCTTGTACACAAGAAGTGGATATACGTCAGATTTGTGATATTCCCATAATATTTCAAAGTATGTATATTGTCATGAGCATCGATATACAGAATGGACTGAGCATCGAATAAGAAGTAACAAACTGACGTCATTAAACGTCAAAATAACGTCACACGACGTCAAAATAACGTCATTTTGACGTTTAATCACGTCAGTCTGTTACCTGGGTTATTTATTGATGTTCAGTTCATTTTATATGTCGATGATCATAAGTATATAAAGTCAACAAAAATTATATTCATGTATATATATATATCTAATATTTCTTTTTTGTAGATTGTGATCCATTATCTGAAGAACATGAAAACCATGAAGAATTGCAAGAAATAGTTAATGAAGTATCAGACCCTAATATAAAAAGTATGTATTAATATATATGCATATAATGGCTTTTAGTTAAATAGTAATATAAAATTATGTATAATAAGAAATACATTGTACACATTGCAGAGTACTTTAATCAAGTGATACGTACACAGCAAGATATAATACGTAATCAAGGACAAATAACACGTACCCAAACTACGTCCAATTTAATCTTAAGAGACATCAAACAATTGGTAAACCGATTGGAAGATGTTATGAAGAGCCGCGCTCTTCTTCCAACAAAGGGTAATGACAGCTTGATTGCTGAAATTTTACCGTTACGCTCGGTTCAAACTATAAAAGATTTTGAGACTTTATTGCGTGACACGGAGGAAGCAGTTACGCAATTTGTAAGTTTTACATTAATTTATTTAATTAATTGTATAATTTAATTAATTGTATAAAAATTTTTAAATTTATTTTTTTTACAGAAAGAATTTATCTTAAAAGTTGGGGGAAATAATCCCAGAGACAACATTCATCGCGCCCTTTGCAAAATATTTACGAACCAATGTGCGATGGATTGCTCATGGAAGGGTGTTCGTAATAATTTTAAAATATGCGATTTATATTTTATCAAAATTATGAGAAGTGTGTTTTCTATATTATTAAAAATGTATCTATTATCCTAAATTTCTTGTTTAACTATATATTATTCTTTTTAGGAGACATTACTCTACAGTATTCTTCTTTAACAGAAGCTGAATTTGATAATATTGTGGCGGAATGGCTACGTTTCGCTAAGCAGAGGAAGCAGAGGGAAGAAAAAGGAGGAGCACAGGAACAAGATAAGGAAAATAATTAGATTTTCAGTTCTTTAATTAAAGGAAATTTTTTTTTTTTAAGTATTATCTTTTGCTTTAAGTTTTTAAAAATATATATGTGATAGATAATGAATACCAAAAATGTTAATATATTTATATATGTTGCTATATTTCATAAGCTTACACATGTGTACCTGTACGTACCTGAGCAACAACACGTATATATAACTATGTTTAATGTATATATGTATACATATAAAAAAGTGCTAAGTTTTTTAATTTTTTTTTATTCTCTGGAAGAGTTTATGTTTAATTATAATTTATACATCCTTGTATAAATATATGTATACATATATATACGTCTTATGTAATGAAAAATATAAATTTCGTTTTATAAATATAAAACGTCATATGTCATGAAAAATATAAATTTTATAAATAAAAAAGAGTTCTTTATATAGAAACTTATGTATATTACTTATGTATATTAACACCTTATAATAAAAATAAAAATTGTAATAATTGCATATTTGTTACAACAATTAAATATTTAATTGAGAATAAAAATTTTAATTATTACATATTTATTACAAACGCGAATACTACAAATATCAAATTCTTTAATTAATTTCAAGCAAAATTAAATAAAATTTTATTTAATTTTGCTTGAAATTAATTAAAGAATTTAATATTTGTAGTATTCGCGTTTGTAATAAATATGTAATAATTAAAATTTTTATTCTCAATTAAATATGTAACAATTTAGTAACAAGTAAACATAAAAGTCTTATTACATAAATATAACAGCTTTATAACACATACATAATAGCTTTATAACAATTCTGTAATTTATATTGCAGTTATAGAATTATTTTATAATTCTTTTTAAAGTTATATAACATGTTATTTATGTGTTATATTAACGTTATATATCTGTAATTTATATGAGTAGGAAATTACTCCTAACGTGTATATAACGTAGTACATTTGCGTGTTATATTCCGTTTTATTATAGCAATGTAACAATTATATATCGGTGTTTGCTGGGCAATTTCTTCATTACTCAAAAACTTTTGTTGCTCAAATAAAACTTCATTATTTTCTTCTTCACTACTTAAAGGGAGACTTGATTGATCAAAATCATTAATTTCATTTGATAAATCTACATCTATCTTATCTTGACTAAAAGTTATTGATGCATGCAAATCATTTGTAATTATTTCAAACGTTGATACGTTAGGTGGCACATTAGATTCCATACAGCACGAATCGCGAGGGATACGTTTCAAATTAGTTTCAGAGAGATATTTGTTACGAGACGATAACAATGGTTATCATTACAGATATGTATTTGATATGAAATAAATATGTGTCCGTTACCGCTCAAATTAGTTCCAATCTCCGCGTTCATAACATGAAATGTAGTTTATTTCAGATACGTAACAGAAGTGTAATATTGTTGCGTAACATACTTACAACAAATATATAACTGCAATATTTCAAAAATGTAATCGGTACGCAATAGATATGTAACTGAAATATATTTGGCTATCAATCATATAATTTTTTCGTAGGAGCGGAAATGTAAAAATTAAAAATTTCGCATAAATTCGACAAATAGAATTAATGAATTCACGTAAAAGTTTTCACTTCTTCCGTCTTAGGGTAAATGTGAAAAGTGAAAACTTTTACGTGAATTTATAACAATCCCTATTTGTCGAATTTACGCGACATTTTTACTTTTTATATACATTTCCGCTCCTACGAAAAAATTACATGGTTGATAATTAAATAATGCTTGCACTTCCTCTATGTGAAAAAGAATATAGACACTATATACAATAATATTCAACCATCAACATATAAACACACACACACACACACACATATATATATATATATATTGCTATATATAATTTAAAAACTTCGGTTTTCAATAGTTTTGTACAGTTTTTCGTCAATAATTGAATATTATATATTTTTTCGTAACGGTCGGATATATATTATATAATTGAAACTTAAAATCCTTTTCGTTTAGATAAAGAAATATAATTAATAGAAGGTAGAAATTAGGTATAAGAAATTTTATAATGTAAAATGTACATTTGAATATGTGTATTTGAATAATATATATAAAATGTACATATGGAATTTTTTTTAGAATGTACATTTTGTACGTAAAATTGTTACACAAAGTTATTAAAAATTTTTAAGAAACTAATTTTATATTGCACTGACAAATATAGAAAATAAACATCAAAAAACGTAAATGTCGACAAAACGTAAGTATATATAATCTTATTAGATTATAACAAAAAATAAACTCTCTCTTTTTTTTAACTATAACTATTTCTATTTAACTCTGAATACGATATCAAATCATTGATGAATAAGATTTCATCAGAATGCTAAAGATCAGAATTTTTATCGTCACTGTTGTCTTTTGAATTCACTGGTTTGTTGATCTTCGCTCTGAAACACAAAATTAAAAATATTGCATATTTTTGAAAAATATATTGTACATACATATATTATATATTTATTTAATATCATAATAATTAACTATACAAATATAAATTATATACATACATTTCTCTCTTGCATCTTAACGGGGCTTGGACCAGCCACTTCCCAATAAAATTGTCAATTTCCGTTTCCGACGTATTGATTTGCTGGCTCTGCACCACAACTACAAAAAATATACAATATATATCACATTATATACAATTAAAAATTAATTTTTAAAATGAGTATATAAATGTGTAAAATTTACCTCGAACTCTAGTTTGGTTATATTTAAATCTTTGAAACCCTTTTTCCCTCTGACTCTCGCCCAACTGAAGCCTGCCGCAATTTTGTTTGACCGGATTTCAAACAGGACATTTCGTGTAATACTTTTTACGTTGTCTCCACCAATTTGACAAAGAGCTGTACCCTGAAATAAAGTTATTTCTGAAAATATTTGTAATAAATTTAATAGTAATAGTAATAATAATAATTAAAATGTATATATGTGGATTAATATATGGATTAATATATCTATGGAAATAGATTATATAAACTGCTCTTACAACTTTTTGGAAATATTCAGTATCTTCTAAAGCACTCTCCAGTATATCCAGATCATCCAACGTTTCAATAAAGATTTTTTTTCCATCAATGACTTTCCTGTTAACAATGTGTAAACCTTCGCTGCGGTTATCATTCTTGAATCTATTAGGTACAACGTTTTCTTTTATTTCTGCGATGTCTTCTTTCATTATATAGACCTCCTGGAGTAACTTATTTAGCTTTCTAAAAACTTTTGATAATCCTTCTGAAATGTTAAATATTATAAATATTACATTATCAGAGATGGGGCTAAGTAAGAATGCAAATAGAAAGTTAACTATTTTAAAGTTGAATATTTTTGTATTGGCAAACGCGAGACGCTGGCGACGTCGAAATAATACTCGAGGTAGAGAAAAGTCATTAGAGAGAAAGACTTGTCAAACAATTTTCTATGAATATAATATACTACGTATAACGTATAAAACCCGCCGATTGCACCAACGTTATTTTTGCTTTAAGCGAGACTTGAATATGTATCTATCTTTATCTTTCTTTCTAAATAAATAAAGACACATGTATATTTAAATAACGTTGGTGCAATCGGACCTAAGTGATAAATGAAAACTTACTATTGGTATTATAATCTGCATCTTTGTTTTTAAAAGGTCTTAACGGGAGTTGTTCCTTTTCTGAAATTATACAGAAACAAAACTGTATAAAGTTACATATACAACATACATACATATATATATGCATTATAAATATTATTCTTTAAATGTATAGATACAAATAATTATATAAACTTACTGTTTGTAGTAGAATTGGTACATTCTATATTTTGTTCTACTGCAAGCTTATTCAATAATACTGTGGATTCTTTTTGTGAAACATTTTTATGTTCTTTTATTTTGGATGAAATAATGTTTCCAACTCTATCATCAGTTTCATTAATTAAATATGTTAAAATATTGTACGTACCTTCAATGAATACTTTAGACCAAATAATATAATACGCAGCAATATACACGCACGTGTGTGAATGTTCTTCGTTCTTCATACACAAAATATATATATATATATATATATATATATATATATATATATATTGGAAGAGGCACTTTAAGGCGATTGTCTAACTTTTAACAACGATTTCGCTATCGTTATATATGTCGTTGCGCATATATATTTTCATATGTCGAAATACATGCGCGACGATGTAACGATAACGATGATAATTATTGTTAAACGTTAGAGAATCGGTCTACTGACCTCTCGTATCTTGTATAATACGTAAATGGAAAGTGTACGTGCGCCCATTTTAATCCGATAATAAATATCTCTAGATTTTGTGATTGAATAATATTTACAACACAAATAATAGATCCATCTTTTAATACACAACAATTATTTTTGTCCTCTTTACAATTTATATAATATAAATGGGTTTTAAGAATTTTGTACTGATTAAGATTATTTTGCATAATTAAGTTATTCGGCAGAGGGCCTGCACAATGTTTGTTTTTCAAAATAGTATTTGATTGATTATCTAATTTTGAATGGAATTGATATTCGCATGCATACATTTCCCCAAAACGTCGCGCAACTTGTTGCAAAGGCCTGTCTGATTTTCTTAAAATATTTTTTAACATTTGCAAATAATTTTCAAACCAAAAAGCGTTAAATTTATCTAATGCTCCGAATTTCTGAACATCTCTACTAAGATGCAATAAATTATGTATGTTGTGGGTTACGAATTGATCTCCGTATATAATTTGAAATGACTTTACAAAATGTGTCAAAAGTTTTTCAGCGTATAAAATATTATTTTGGTTTTCAATTAATTTTGGATTAATAAGAATTGATATAGCTACATGTAAAGTTAAAAAATTGATATAGATGTCTTACCGTATAAATTCATTTAGCACTACGGGTCCTGTATACAATAAAAATTGGCGGAACTCTGTAGCTTTCCAATACATAACATTGTTAAGACTTCTTGGTTTTCTTACAAATTCTATAGGAGTTCGTTCTCTAATTTTTATTAATAATTTTGAAATTTTTTGTATTTGAGTAGAATTTAAACGTATCGAAAGAGATCCTTTTATCCATAAAATCAATAATTTTTTAACGACTCCCAAGCAAATAAGATGCATATAATCTAACGGTACATTTGTCACTAAACCTAAATTAGGAACTATTGTTAATATTGTTTCCCCCTTATGATAATCTACATCCGTTTGCTCAAGAAAATCTGTATCAGTTTGAAGATGACTTGGAACATTTTCAACAAAACAAACTTTACTATTTTTATGCGTGCCTTGAATGTAACATTTTGAACAACTGCCATATCCGATATGACCTTTGGTGGACAATAAAAACGATTTTGCTGGAGCATCACAAACAATTGCATAAAGTGAAACTTGTATAGGCAATTTATTATTTATATTAATTAATTCATGAATCAATTCTTTCACGAAATCATTTGCACTGGTTGGTTTGCTATTTCCATAATAGCAACCTACCATGTAAACATTCTTTAACTTAATATCGGATACTAAAATAGGCCAAAACAAAACTTTAGAGGACTTAGCTAAAGGTAAACCGTCTATGTTTAAAATTAAATCGATATTGGATGGGAGTGCTAATTTATCATAGTCAATTATTAATTTTTCAATAAAATTACGTAAACCGCAATGCCAATATAATCCGCCTGCTAATTTAATTATATTATTTTCACGCGGTGTTCTTAAAAAAGTTCTGGCATCTTTAGGCAAAAATGATAATATTGGAATATGTTTTTTTAAAATTTGTAAGAGGTCACTAATTGCATTCAAACAAATTCTGTATTTTATTGCCCACCACTTTAAATCTGACATGAATTCAGAACTCTGTATCCCATCGTTACTTACCAGTGAGTCGTGACATTCATATCTGTTACCTGCAGCATTGATGTTGTCTTCATCGAACTAGTCACATCCATAATCTTCGTCATCAGATAATGGGTCATCATCTGAACTACAATTTTCCGTATCGCTATCAGAGTTCACATTATCATCAGATTCATTATTAGCCAGATCAGATTTAGATGGAGGATTATCACCTGAAAAAAATCTAATTAATTATCATGACAAAACTGATTATGTACTTTTTATTATCAAATTTATTTATAATTTCATCAATTACTATTGGATTGAGAAGATGATGAGCTAGCAGCTTGCAAGTTATCGGTAGAAGAATGATGCGAATAGCCGTAACTCCTTCAAGATCCTCACAAAATTGAATATCATCATCATCATCATCATTTACATATCGGAATCTGTCCAAATCATCCTGTGTTTCAGTAGCAACTAAATATCTACGATGACGTTTTGAGTACGACGAATATTTTATTTTGTTACCAGACATGCTGTGAAAAATATATATTTTAAGAAAAGAATTAACTTATTTAACCTTCATAAGAGATTCCCATTATATATATTTTATATATATTGTTGTGTCTCCGCTTGGGAAAGGGTTCAATAATTAATCTGCCACGTATTCACTATATTTACAATCGGTTTATTTCCTGTCCTTCGTATAACTCAGCCGTGTGTGTGTTCCTTACGCTATGCCGGAGAGGAAGAGACTGAATCCGCCGATACGCGTGTATATATATATCGCACATTGTCACCTCCGCCATACCAACTTGCTTTCCTGTCCTAAACGCGATGTCATGCTTACGCGCCTATTTTGAAAGGCATGTAACTATGCAACATATTGTATCAAGAGACACGGTAGTGTCTCGCGACCAGTTAAGAGCGTAGCCGAGACACCGTGTATCTTAACGCGAGTCGGACATTTGAGTCTTTATAATATTTCGAATTCTCAATAACGGCTGAAGCAATCGAGTTTATACTAGACTTAATCGATAGATTGAGTTTGAATTATATAATAAAAGTGTCTTTATTTCTGCTCTACGTGATTTGTAAGCAGAGATATATAATTGCAAAGTCGAAATATGAAAAATTTCTTTTAAGAAACGTCCCCGTCATCATCATTATATATTATCATCATCGACCACGCAAACATAGTAGTATCGTGCTACACGTATTCACACGTATACAACACATGCGCACACATATATCACACGTACACAACACATGAATAGATGCATGTATTGGAAATGTCCATCTCGCACGTTTTACAACAGACGGCGATAGTTGCCCTCCGCTATATTGACAGCGTGCGGGGTTAGATATTTTCAATTTTCAATTTCAATTTTTACATTCAATTTTAATGTTATTATTTGCAAATTTATTGTCATAATAATTTATGTGCAAGTTTACAGTCTGTGATACAAAATCAGATATTTTGCTATTATTTCAATAATATTTCAATTATATAAATGCCTATGTATGAGTATGCATATATTTTTAATAATTTTCTTAATTAGCTTCTATATTTTTTTCAGTTGTACATCAAGCAGGTAGCATTATCAGCTCACTTGTGAGCATGGGTTGGGCAATGGCTAGTTATCATCGCAGCATTCGATTAGCTTAACAAGATAAATCTAATATCAGTGCTATAGGAACTATTTTACAATTTTTCTGGCATTTTCTTATTGCAGGTACATATATATCCAATAATTAATATACAAAATTAAATATTATTCATCACACACTTTGTATCAAAATAATATATTTTTTAATTTATTTAATCATTTTTATCATTGTGATTGTAGTGGCAAGGATCTTATTGCTCAGTGTCATTGCAAGCATCTGGCCTGTATATACCATAATATATTGCGTAATACATTGGCTAAGTATGACAATATAGATTTTGATAGATTCCCATGGAATATTGGAATTTTGTCGGACTTACAGTCATCCACCACATATGCAGCCTACAATTAAAGAACGCATTTATTCCATATGATTTGCTTCCGTTATTGGAATATTTAAAATAAAAATTTTATTAATAAATTTCGATGAAATAATTTATAAGAGGTTGAAGAAACTATGAAACAAATTCAGTCTCATAAAAGGGTAGTTGGAACAATAGTGGTGAATGCAGAAGGTATTACATGAGATCATTGACATGATTTACTTGTAGTTGTAAACAAAAATTTATAAAATTATATCTGTTTTAGGTATTCCTATAAAGTCAACATTAGATAATACGACAACAGTTCAATACGCAGGTTTGATAAGTCAATTGTCAGATAAAGCTCGTTCTGTCGTACGTGACTTGAATCCAACAAATGATTTAACTTTCTTGCGCATACGTAGCAAAAACATAAAATTATGATGGCACCAGATAAAGAATTCATATTAATAGTAGTACAAAATCCAGTTGATTGATATTTAAAAGAAACAAAAATATATTTCAAAGTTAAGATTTATTTCTTTGGTTGTTAATTTAATCTGTATGCTACATTGTGGATGTTAATATCTATTCAATTAAATAAAGAAAAATAAAAGAATAAAGCTAAAAATTATACAAAATGCAGTATTTAATTACTAATTTAACAAATTATGAACTTTTAGAGTTTTTAAATAGTGCTTTCTTCTTTGGTAACAATATTATATTTTTAAGTTTGATAATTATGAAAATATGATATATAGTAATTCATGGCATGTTTATTTTTGTATTTAATACAATTATAAATGTACATTTCTCATCAATAAAATATCACAGTATCTTTTTTATAATTTAATTTTAATATTGAGATTGTTTTTATTCAGTGGAAAAAAAATGTGTAGTTGGTCCCTATTAATTATACATACATATAAGAGTGTCGCACAAATAATTCTATGCAGTCTTTTTAAGATAATATAAAAATACTTATAAATATAATCAATTAAAATACATATAATCAAAATTGTATGTATTAAAATTCAATAGCATATAAAAAAGATTTTTTGAAATTATATATATATAATAAAAATCCAACATTTTATATATATATATATATATATATATAAATATAAATATATATTATTTATTGTATATCATAAATATATATTTATTTATTTATATTTACCTATCTTTTTTTTATATATATGGTAGAAATACAATGTGAGTTTATTTTATTTTGCAAAATTTTTGAAAGTTAAACTATACAATGAAATTATTTCATATAATACCGAGATTCTTTTCATAATAAAGATTAAGAGAGAGTTAGATTTTATCATAAGATTTATAAAAGTCATAAGATAAGGTTAATTGCATATTGTATAATTTATCTCTCATTTTTAAAGTAAATAAATATCAAAGTTACATTGCTTGAACTGGTGCGTTTGAAGTATGTTGTCTTTTTGAGGGATGCAAGACAATATATACAAAAGCATTGCTGTAATTCCCAAGAAAAGGAAATGATACAAATAATAAAGATTATATTAAAGTACTAAGCCTCTTTAACTGCAGGAGGACAAGCATATTGCCATAATAAATTTGCTGCAATATTTTCAAAAAAGCAGATAACATAGAAAGATAGATGTTTTCAAAATGTTTTGCTATCTACAGCATTGAGATATATAAAATGTGCACTATGCCAATAACGGAAGCAAATAATATGGAATAAATGCGTTCTTTAATTGTAAGCTGCATATGTGGTGGATGACTGCAAGTCCGACAAAATTCCAATATTCCATGGGAATCTATCAAAATCCATATTGTCATACTTAGCCAATGTATTACACAATATATTATGGTATATACAGGCCAGATGCTGCAATGACACTGAGCAATAAAATCCTTGCCACTACAATCACAATGATAAAAATGATTAAATATAATTTAAAATAAATTTTTAAAAATATATTATTTTGATACAAATTGTGTAATGAATAATATTTAATTTTGTATATTAATTATTGATATATATGTACCTAAAATAAGAAAATGCCAGAAAAATTGAATTTGCTTATTTATTTAAAGATGCTTATCATATACAAAAATGAATGATATAATCTCTAAAAACCTTTAAAAAGGTAAAAAAAGGCGACCAGTTAAGGCACACCATTAACAAAAATTATCCATTGCAAACCCATGTACAATAGAATTGTATGAAAATTATCGATTATAAACCATGTACAATCGTAACAAAAGTAATGAAATAAAAATTGCGCCAAGTGAAAGTAGAAACTTGTACCAGTGGAAAATTAAAGTTGCAGACATATATAGAGTCGTATAATGAATCAATAAAATTTAAATTTGCAAATGTAAAATTGTACCATAAAAAAACTTATCTTTTAAAAAAAGATAAACAAGATGCCCAGTCCATGCGCCATGTGAAAAGTGTTTAAACCAAAAGTTTTTTAAGTAAAAATATCTATCAATTGACAAAAATTTATGTTCTAAAATTATATCTCTACAAAAGTAATGTCCAATTATTGCGCGAATAAATAAACATTTTATAAAAAATTAAAATTTAAAGCTATGCAAATTTAAAATTAATATA